AACTGTGCCAGACTCTGGTTGCTCTATATAGTCGTTGTCAGCCGGAGCGCCGTATTCTAATTGGTTCCGGATCTTTTTATTTCATCACGCATGGCTGTACCAGTGTTTTTTGGCTCTTCAGTGTATTGTTTCCTGGTTCTTAAATATAGGCCGTTTCATTTGCATTATATTTCAATTAATTCTGTAACCTGTCATGCCCCCATTTGGTGTTCTGCGGATACCGGAATGTCATTTGTTTGAAACCGTCAGGTGGTGACATCAGCCATAAAATCAAACAGCGATTCGCTCTGGAGTAAATGTGTGAGATTAGAGTACTCGTCAAAAAGGTTGGGTTTTGTTTCCGCGAAACCCCGAAAGTAAATACAAATTGCATTTAAAGTTGCCGAAACATTAATCACACTTTGTGAGAAATATTTAACCTTTTTTTTGGAGGAAGAGGTCAGTATAAAACAAACTGTGATTGGTCCACACCGTGGTGGACCAATCAAGTGGACGGGGCATAAGCAGCTATGGTCTAACGCTTTTGCCACTTCTCACAGAAAAAAATGCTGGTGGTTTACAATGTTTTAGAACTAAAATAGCACTAATTCATAAAAGTTCTTGAGATTTATAGTTTAAGTTTGGAATCATTGTCATTTGACAATATAAAAATTATCAAATACAATCACACAATTATAAGTTACTATAAAATGAAAGAAAAATTAAATACTTCTTGTATTTCCTTCTTGTATTTTTTATTAGAAACAGAATTATGAGACAAATACATTTAACATATACTCACATAGGAGGAATGAAAGGCACGTTATCGAAATATGAGCAATTTTAATATAAAATAAAAGGATATTTTAACGAATAAGAGTTGGGTGTTCCTGTACAATGCTTGGATATCAGACGGTTAAAGAAACGAAAGAATAAGGGAATAGAAACACGATATAATAGAACTCACTTCTTTATTGCGCTTTAGACGCTTCTTAGTTTTCGAATCCTCGTTTTCCACTCCCGTGGAAAATTGCATCGAGATGCAGCTGAAGGAAAACAAGTACCTTAGCGATGACTTCTAAGATGGAGAAGGAGGAGAGGAAGAGAATTTGATGAAGAAGAAGATAAAGAAGAAGATAAAGAAGAAGATAAAGATGAAGACGGGGGTGAACTCTGGCGCCCGTCCACTCTAAAGTCGAACACCAAGCCTGCGTTCGACGTTTGGTGTTCTACCTTACAGTGAGCGGACGACAGCAGCGGTCAGCGGCGAACACCAGTCACTAGATCAACAAGAAACTGCCTCAACGATTGGCTTCAACACTCGACCTCACCTGCTAGCTTCAACTGTCAGCCTCCACGCTCGGCTTCAACCGTTAGCTTTAAATGTCGACCTTAACGGTCGATCACAACGGTCGACCTCAGACAACCCCAAAATACAACCTCAACAGTCGACTTCAACAACCTTCTTCAACAGTAGACTTTAACAGCCGACTTGAACAGTCAACAATCGGCCCTAATAGTGGGCACCAACAGATGATCTCAAAATTTGGCCGCAACAGTGTATCTCAACTCTCGACAGAAACACCCAGCCTCATTACTCGGTCAACATTTGGCCTCTTGAGACCACATTCAACTCGTCAGGGCATTCCTTCAAGTCTTCTTTTTTTTATTTCAAGGCTTAGGTTCGACCTTACAAAACGTCTGTTTCATTCTTAAGTTTGCTATACGTCTCCTCTCTCTTGGCTCGAGTTGGAACTATTTCGTCACCAACGGGAGGTATTATTTTTACAATAAAACGTCGGTTTTCGAATGCCTGAGAAAGACTTTCATATTTAGTATTTTCGAGCACGTCAACTAGTTCTCTTTCGTTTAAGTAAGTAAGAAGTAAGTAAGTAAGTAAGTGCCAGAAGTGCGTGTTATATACCGGGAAGTTCCAGTGTTCCTCGTCCACTGCATCCTAACATACGTCACCAACCTACACGAATCGACTTCCAGGATTGGCTTCCTCACGTTCCTCCAGAGTTCCGCCTATCCAGGACAATTAAGCTCCGACATGTGTGGTAGTGTATTCCATGTTAGTGTAAGTGGGTGTAAGGGGAAATGATAGGACAAGGAACGGGAAGGAGAGATCGCGCGTGGTCCGTGGCCCATTTGTTACGGTACTGCTCCAGCATTCACCTGGTGTCGATCGGAGGAACTACGGAAAACTACTGATCAAAGTAGCCGGTTGCCAGAATTCTCCTCCAGGAAGCGTCCGAATTATTCGAAGTTATCTGTCCATTATTGAAACTCCACCACCGCGGTGCACCGTGTGGATTCAAACCGCAGAACGTCCAGGTTAAAGACATTGGCGTACGCTCTAACGATTCGATTTCAGATTACTTTTTCTTCGAGATTTTGTCCCAGTTATCGTGTATTTTCGGTTTTCGAACAGTTGAAAGCGGTATTTTCCACACCCGTCCACCTGTCCGTGTGACACCCCTGCTTATTTCCAAAAATCGAGCGCCCACAGATAGCACCACTTGCTTCCGGCACTCAGACTGCCTTTGTTTCTTTTTGAGTAAGGAACATAGGCGTTCGCCCACAAATTTTCATCGTTATCGATTAAATTAAAAGATGTACATTTTTTATAAAAAATAATATTTTTGGATTGGATAAATTCAGTTTGCAGTATTTATTATGTTAAAATATTGCCTTATTTTTTATGCAGAAAACTATAACTATTTGTTATAAGTGTTCCGAATTTGCTTTATATGAAAAGGTTTGCATTATAAATATTCTATCGCCACGCTACTTCTCTAGTACTTACGATAAAGCAACTAAATCTAGAAATCAGATATGTATCGCTGATTTTCCAGAAGAGTGTTGTATGATTTTATACAATAGTTTAATTCAAGCTTTACACAACTTCATTTTCTTCTGACTAATCAACCCCTTTCAAGTTGGTATATCAAAAATTATTCATGCCCCTAGGTTTTTTTATTAAATTGAAGAACTCAGTAGAACAAGGAGCTATTCCACACATTTTTTGTGAAATTTTGTTAATGGCATTAAATATAACTTCAAATATTATTCTATTAGTATTATATGTTATTTAAATCCAGTACAAACTTATATACAAATGTAATGTGTAAAACACTCAGTCAAACAGGGGGTATCCCACACCAGGTTGTAGGTTTTAACTGATTAAATAAATAAATAAATAAATAAATAAATAAATAAATAAATAAATAAATAAATAAATAAAAAATAAAAATCGTGGAAGGGTAGTGATTACGACTCAGGTTTGGTAACTTGAGTGACTCGTGTTCAAACTCCCCTCAAAGGCGGGCCTTTGTACCTGGCTGTTCTATTCAGGGCGATTCTGGGTACTCTGCCTCCTTTCAATATGAGTACCAGTATTTAATGGCTGTCTGACTTACTAAGCAAAAGTTCCAGTAAAATCATCAATATCTCAAATCTAGGTCAACATGGGCTGGGCCCTATTGAGCTTGTTCTATTGAGCTCTTCAATTATTAAAATGGATTATCTAAAACTCTGAAAACGTTGGACAACATTTTTTCATAAAAGTAAATCTCTGTCCATGAAATAACAATGCCTCTGCCACCTAGCAATAATTGTCACCAAATACTTTTTGTCATTTTTAAGTTGAAACAGTTTCCAGAAAAGGAACGATACAGTTTTTATTACATGAAATTCAATAATAGTTGCCTGCATTTATCTGGCAAAAGCAGTATGTACAAGCATATATTTTATTGCAGAAACAAGAACGATATCACAAGTGAGATAAAATATGCGCGTTCTTTGCTGTAGCTCTGAGTAGAAAATGTGAACACTGAAGAATGAAATGAACAAACTCATATTAGTACGCTCCAGAAACACTGTGATGAGAAAACAAAAGCCGGCTTTAGCGTCCATAACGCCGCATACTTGCAGTAATGAAGTCTAATGAACAATGGAATGGCAATTTCGGACGAAAAATGATCTCATATTGTTCTCGAGCTTTCGGGAATTTGCGTGGAAATGTGTAACAACTTGCATAGCAATGAGAGATCCACCCATAACAAAGGAAATATAACAGGCATTGAAGTTTTAAGCCGACGGTTTTTGCTAGCAAAATATCATTTCAGAGTAATTACTTCGTAGCGAGCAAGTTCCTTTCTTAAAACAAAAATCAACCCCTTCACAATAACTATTTTGATTATAATCGATATTTTACTCATCGATGGGTATTATGAACTTTTAAAGTGGATACAAATTAATTAAGTTAAACAGTTTCCATGACAACGTACTTCTCGTTAGCGAAAATACAAAGAAGACAAACTATGAGTATTTGGAAATTGCATTGTGTAAGAATAGTTATTGACGGAAGTATGTTTCATTATGACGATATAACAAATACGTATCTTTCAGCGTTTTATTTATGAAGGTACAAAAGTGTTTCTTATTTTATTTGCTATTTTTAACAGTATTCATATATTCAATTATTTTATTTTTTGTAAAGATGGAAGATATGTTGGATTGTCCACATCTTATAAGAATATATTCTTTATTTTTTATTTTTTGTTTTTTGACAAGTAAATCTAGTCGTCTGATCGATCATCTCTTTAACCACAAAAATCGAAATATTCATACAAATATATCATAGTTGAATATTGATTCAGGAACGAGAAAAATCAATAAATGCAATGAAAATAGGGCAATAATTAAATTTGCGCTCAATTTTACGTTTTTCATAGTTGTACAGTTTTCACTTTTTATTTTCCAATTCTACCTTAGCAATTTTCATTATACAAGCATTCAACATTTATACAATTCCACGCATTTCCTTACATTTTGCGATCTAAGTTTTTAGCTCTTTCATCTTTATTGTAACTGGTAGAAAAATCCACTTATGACCTTTTCTTTTGTAATCTTTAATTATCCTAAATTAAGGATGATTAAAATATGTAAAGGATATTGTTGTGAAGAAGACGTAAGCAGACATTTTATTTATTTACATCTTGACATTTCCTCTACAGGTAATGGAAAGCTGATGGAGTTTGAAGTTGTTAACCAAAAAGTTGATGAACGTTACTGCAAAAACTGTATTTTTTGTCCTTTAAATAGCATTGAAATAATTATAAATTGGTATACGCACTGTATTGTAAAAAATATGTAAATTGTGACATAACTTGACATAAAATAAATGAGAGTTTTCTCAATGAATAATAAATATCTATTTTACAAGTGTCATTAGGTGTCAAGTCACTATGAGCTCGATATTCCCTAAAAAATTAATTATCAGGGTTTACGAATACTAAATATGTTGATTTCAGCAGATGAGACACATTGGGATCATGTTTACGGAAGATTAAATATAACATTTAAAACTGAAATCATAGTGTATAATTACCGAAAATATTAAATATTCAAAGAAGCTTTGTAATTATTTCTGATGGTTGTTCTGTTTGCAATGTATATGAGTCTTTATTCAGTAAAATATTATTTCATAGGATGATACACTGTTTGGTGGGTGACCAGTCAAACTTCAGGGTAAACAAGCTTTATATTATCCCATTAGAAAATGACTGTTTTAACAGCTGAAAAGCCATCGATAATTACAAAATCAATGGAATAAGATAAAACCTGTTTGTTCTAGAGAGACAGATATCATTTCACCCATTCAGATGTTAAGTATAATTCTCTCTCTTTCTCTCAAATAGTTGAGAAAGTTATTTTATTCTCTTGTGAATTGATAGCTATTTACGAAATAAACATTGTAAGACATTACAATACGAATATCGTAAAACGTTTTATCTACTTTGCACAAATTCCAGTGGACTAAAATTTAATTAAAGATGTTGTCATTGCCAACAATATTTTTTAATTCAAAAGCAGCTTTCGATGGCTTAGCCATCATCATCAGTTGTCTGATTACAAGAAGAAAAAAACACAAAAAAACCATTAAAACGTGAATTAAACAACGAAGATTCATGATAAAGGTTACAAAACAATAATTTATCAAATTTTTTGGAAAATATAATTTGACAACGGGAGAAAGAAAAAGTGGGGGGGGGGTATAAGCATTAATACTAAAGAAGCGAATGAAAATAGAAATAACGACACGTAAAAATTATTTTTTTATACAGAAAACATAGAAATGTAAGTTGAAGCCGTTTCCCTTAACCTGCTAGATGGAAGCCCAAAAACGACTACGCGGGGTCGGGCGGAGCCCGGAGGGGCTTAAGTACCCGGCGCGTGGGGTGGAGGAGGGTATGGCGCTGGGTGCGGTTGGCGCCTGTCACCGTGCCGCCCCGGCAGGGTGTGGTGTGGGAGTGGTGTCTAGTAGTAATTTTAGTAAAGGAGAAGGACTATTGTTTACATGTTTTCATTTAATAAGTTATTATTTAAATGAATGTGTAGGTTTTCTAGTTTAGTGCTGGTGTGGTAAGTGGTTTTCCTATTTCCAGTAATACGAATGTCTGTGTGTGGAGATTGAATGTATGCGGCTGTCTGGAGTAATGATTGGCAGTGAGATTTAACAGGTGTTGTGTTTCCAAGCATGTATGTGTTTCCTTGATTCTGGTATTGAAAGTTCTGGCCTGTTTGAAACCAATATATTTGGCTTCGCAGTCGTGGCACTTTAGAGAATAGACGCCGCTTTTTTTCTAGAAGATCTCTGGTGTTCTTTGGGGGACAAGCATTTTTTTGGAGGGAATTCCCTGTGGCATTTTGATGAAAACTTTTATACCTGCTTTTGTGAATGCAAACCCATCCACTTCTCAAAAACATTACATATTGGCAACCGTTATCGTAGACGACATCCTTGTTCTGCTGGACCGGTAAGACTAGACATAATTGACCTGTTTACTGACCTTCTCAGCAGCACAGACATCCTAAAACCAAAAATCCAAATTTCACCACAGAACTACAGAAAGAAGACAAAATCTAATCAGATTTCCTAGACTAAAATATAACATATCCGAAAACAAACATACTTTTCAACATTTTCAGAAAACCGACAATACACAGACACTGTCCATCCACCAACTCTTCACAACATCCTATTTTCAACATAAACCATTCTGCCTTCCACTACATGAATACACAGATTACTGAGCCTCCCCCCTGACAAAAATCTCATTTTCTGGAAGAACTGCCACACCATACAACACATTGCTATGTCTAACGGTTAACCAGTACATAACTCATTAACAACATACTACGGCCGCAAAATAGTCAAACAAAAAACAAAAAATGTACACTACACTTTCCTCCTATAACAAAAACACCGGACAAGTACAAAACTTGCTTAACCTTATTTTGGACCCTTTCAGAAAAAGTCGCACCACAATATTCAACAAAGCAGGTATAGAAAGTTTCATTCAAATCACAGATTCCTCAAAAAATTGCTGTCCCCCAAAAAAACACACAGATTCCTTCTAGAAAAAAAGCTGCGTCTATTCTCTAAATTGCCACGACTTGCGAAGGCCAAATATATTGGTCAAACAGGCAGAACTTTTCATACCAGAATCAAGGAACACATACATGCTTGGAAACACAACAACCTGTAAATCTCACTTTGCCAATTTCATTTACTCCAGACAGGCCATACATTCAATCCGACACACAGACATTCCGTATACTGGAAATAGAAAACCACTACGCACACCAGAGCTAATTTGAAAACCTACACATTCATTTAATAATAAGCTTATTAAATGAAAACATAAACAATAGTCTTTCTCCTTTACTAAAAATTACTATTAGAACACCACTCCACACCACACCCCGCCGGGGCGGCAACAGTGACAGCGCACCGCACCCAGGCCATTGCCCTCCTCCAACCCCACGGCCGGGTACTTAAGCCCCTGCGCTTCGCCCGACGCTCGCGTGTCGTTTGTGGGCTTCGCATCTAAGCAGTAAGGAACGGCTCGAACTTACATTTCTAGTGTTTCTTGTATAAAAATAATTTTTACGTTGTCGTATTTCTATTTTCATATTCGCTTTTCTTTAGTATTAATTGGCTTAACCCCCCCCCCACGATTTTTCTTTCTCCGTTGTCAAATATATTTTCCAAAAATTTGTAAAATTATTTGTAACCTTTATCATAATCTTGTTGTTAATTACGTTTAATGTTTTTTGTGGTTTTTCCTCTTGTATCAGACAACTGGATGATGATGGCTAAGCCATCGAAACGCTGCTTTTTTGAATTAAAAAAATATTGTTGGCAATGACAACATCTTTAATTATTTTAAAAATGCCAAAGATATCCTACCACAACACCTATGGACTAAAATTTGCTTTTATATTTGACTACTCTGTCTATGAAAGGTGAGAAACTGATAAAACATTTGGATAAAAGAAATGGAATTCACGGCTGAGATGTACTAGAGCCAGTTTTGTTTTACGTACATTTTGATGCTCTTCTTGACAACAACCTCATTAAAATAAAGATAGCGGTGTTTGAACTTAAGTGTTAATACGTATGTAGTACGCGGCATTTGAACGCAAGTGAACATAAGTATTTATACTATTTCAATTATCCGAGGAATTAAAAGTGATTTTGTATATTTATAGAATTTCAATATAATTCATGTGACTCAAAAGTAAATATCGAATATTACTCTCTTTATTATAAACGTCTTCAGTTAATTAGCAATAATTAAATAAAAGCGAGAAAACTATTCAAATGTAGAAAGTATTCTCAAACGAAACACAATTTTTAGTACGTAAAGGATATTGTTGTGAAGGAGATGTAAGCGTACAAGTTATACGTGTCGTACATATTCGAAAATTATATTATCAGTGAGGAAAAAATACCTCAGTCTTGGATCAAAATATTTTAATTCACTAAAAATTAACTAGCTGTTTATGTTGACATAAATAATGACATAAATAGTGGTTTTAGACGCTGTAATAATAATAATAATAATAATAATAATAATAATAATAATAATAATAATAATAATAATAATAAGTCAAACATTTTCCATGGTCCCTTTGTACGAGTGTTTTAATATAATAATTAAGTTAACTATTTTATCTTTCCTCGTTTATTTATTCTACAGTTGTGTAAGATAAGATTTTCGCGGAAAACATTAATTACGTGGAAAGCTGTGTCGATTTAAAACATGTGTGTACTTAACTATTTGGGTGTTTTGCTCCGGTCTTTCATGAACCGTTTGGGCCCGAATATTTTTAAGATCGCGCGTGCTCCCAGGGTCACTGACTTTATTTAATCAAAATAAAGGCTTATGTACCATCCATACACGAAAAGGAAGAAAAAGGCATCGTATTATTTGGAAGATACAAGAGCATTATAACAATTGATTACTATCTTGTAGTGACAATTCTTTGATATCACTGTAGACTGAATCTATCTTGGATATATCGACTGAAGTAGGTGGTCATGCCGCATTTCGAGGTATGCTGAAGATAGCGAATTAATAATAATTTTGTTTGGAATCTTCAGCACTGATGAACGAACAATCTAGTTCCAAAACATTGTGTAATTAATTATTTTTTCTATTTCTCCAACTTCCCATGATAAAATAAAATGCTTAATTACTAGTCAATTAAAGATTATACAAGCAAGCGGGGAGAGATGTATACGTTTCAGTAGTAATGAAGTATTTGGTAGCAATGTTTTTGATGATTTTTTCATCTCAATTTACTTACCTTGAATGTATAACTACGATTGACACATCAGTCGTTACCAACCAAAAGGTTTATAATCGAGTGACTAAGCCATTTCGATATCCAACGACACCAAATGGGGAGTATACAGCGAGCCTTAGAATAAATTGCAAAATAATTGTAAAGAAACTTGTTAATATTTAAGAATCAAGTACATGAATTTAACAATACATTACAAACTTTTCTGCGAGTTTGTGTTAAAATATTTTCAGTTTTTGATGTACGACGAAGGTGTATGCAAGTTTCTTAGACTAAATGTTACAAACTTCTAGGCCGTGTTGAAAGATCGAACATGATCACTCTTTGCCAGTGAAAATGTGAAATGTTCAGGCTATTCGCCAAGCACCGATATTCGGCAGGTTACGTTCTAACGTAGTCAAGGAGATTGCAAGTTTCTTCCAAACTTCTGTACATAAGGGATTGACCATAAGTCAGTAGCAAACCCCACATATAGAGTGTGTATATGGGATTCAGATTCTTTTTACAATTTTTTGAGTATTAATGTGGGTAGAATATATATTTTGCTTGATCTTATGAGGATTATAAAAAACATGTATTAAGATGTTGATTTAATCAATGTCTTCTATGTTTGAGTTACTTACAAATGCCCAAGGAGAGGGTACAAAGTATTAATAATGTTCTGTGTAATCGTTTTCACTTCTTTCGTATATAAATATATTATAAGTAAATTCTTTACATCAATATGCACGAGACAGAATAAAAAGTTGTAACACCTCTATATGCACTTCCCACTATCTGGGGTTTACTCACCATAGAGGTTTGTAACATGTAGCCTACGTAGGAAAAAGTGGAAAATAAAATCACACTCTGCTGTGACACGTGTCGACAATAGGCGAAGAAGGTTAAGATCGAATGCTGTAAAAGTATTGCTATGGAGATAATATCAGAAGCGCTGTCGGTCTGGAAAATCGCATCTGGGTTAAGGAATCATCCGTTTGATCGACTATGGAGAAATATCTCAAAACTGTTTTAAACGAAATTAAAATCTTTGTTCTTCTGATTGGCAAGACAAAATTAGGTCTTTACTGCTCTAAATATTACATAAAATAAAATTTATTTAATATAGAATCTTAGAGAACTTTCAAGGGCTTACGTTTTATTACGTTGTTGAAGACGATATATGATCTAAATCCTTCACCTTTTGTTGCATTCATAGTAACTTTCTTGGGGAATCAGATGGAATTGTGCCTCATCGGGCATTCTGCTATTCATTTGATAAAACACTTGCTGAGAAATTCATCGCAGCCGGAAGTACTTGCTGCCGGCCTAGGAATTACTACGAGTCTGTTTATACTATTGTCAGTAGTGTTTCTCTTCGGAAGCAATTGAAAATTACGCTAACTGAACATGTTATGTAACACACAAACTATTAGACGATAATTCACTTTTGATGTAAACAATGCGGACTGATACTCAAAGTAGAAAGAAAGATAAGTTCAGGCCTTTCCATTGGGAAATATATTTGCATTTCCGTAAAACAAATTTCAAAAAATTAGTAGCTTAATTAAAATACGTTAATTCTTCAAAGTTACTTGTTTTAGTTAGTTTTAGGCAAAAATGTATTAAAATATGGATCAACTGTCCTTTTAGGACATTTTAGACTATTAGATGTTTTCAGTAGAACTATTTTTTCATGATTTGTGAACATCTGCAATTACTCGCATTTTTCACAACCTCCTAAGGAACTAAATAGGCGTTTGTCCTAAAATCTGAGTTCTATATTTGTAATAAATTTGCCATCTCTGTTCCTTAAGAGAGAATGCTGTCGTGTGAAATAGTGCGTGAGTGTGAGTGAGCGTGCGAGAGGTGATTCAGCGTGCGTAAGCGTGCGCGTGCGTGCGCCTTCGTCAGCGTGGATATACGTGCGCGAGCGTGTCTGTGCAAGCGTGCGTCAGCGTAGGTGTGCGCGCGTGAGCGTGCGCGCGTGGGCGTGAGCGTGCGTGCGTGAGCGTGCGTGCGTGCGTGCGTGCGTGCGTGAGCGTGCGTGCGTGCCTGAGCGTGCGTGCGTGCGTGAGCGTGCGTGCGTGCGTGCGTGAGCGTGCGTGAGCGTGCGTGAGCGTGCGTGCGTGAGCGTGCGTGCGTGAGCGTGCGTGCGTGAGCGTGCGTGCGTGAGCGTGCGTGAGCATGCGATGCATGCGTGCGTGAATCAACGAGCGTGAATCCCTGAGGTGCGTGAGCATGCGCTGGTGTACGTGGGTGAGCGTGCGTGTGTACACGAGCGTGATCTGTGTGTCAAGCGTGGGTGTACGTGCGTGAGCGTGCGCGAGCGTGACGGGGCGCGCGCGTGCCCAGACGAGTTCTGCGAGGAGTTCCGCGCACAACCTCATCCCGACGCCGGGCTACTGGATCGAGTGCTCGCGGCAGAAGCTGGCCGGCCGCGACACCAATCTGGGACGAGAGCGAGGAGAACTCGCGGCGGAGGAGGCGAGGAGAACGGAGGCCAGCGGCGGGGGCGGCAGCGGCGGCGGCGCGGCGCGGCGCGGGCGGCGCGGGCGGCGGCGCGGGCGCGGAGCGGCGGCGCGCGCAGGGCCAGGGCGCCAGAGGGCGGGCCCTCGCTCGCCGAGGAAGAGGAGGACGAGGACGATGAGGTGAGGTTCTCTTCTTGCTGCAATTGCAACTCCTTCTCGATTACGGTCATTCCTTTGTCATTGGTACAATTGGAATTCTTTGGTTATAGTTATCCTTTGTAATTCGAAGAATTGAAATTCCTTTATTATGGTTATTCCTTTGTCGTTGGTAGAACTGGAATTCCATGATTATAGTTATTCTTTGCAATTGGTAGAATTGGAATTCCTTGATTATGGTTATTCCTTTGTCATTAGTAGAACTGCAATTCCTTGTATATTTATCCTTTGTCATTGGTAGAACTGGAATTCCATGATTATAGTTATCCTTTGTAATTGGTAGAATTGGAATACCTTGATTATGGTTATTCCTTTGTCATTAGTAGAACTGAAAATCCTTGAATATAGTTATCCTTTGTAATTGGTAGAATTGGAATACCTTGATTATGGTTATTCCTTTGTCATTGGTACAACTGGAATGCTTTGATTAGAGTTATCCTATGTAATTGGTAGAACTGGAATTTCTTGATTATTGTTATTCCCTTATCATTAGAAGAATTGGAATTCTTTAATTATTGTTATTCCCTTATCATTGGAAGAATTGGAATTCTTCGATTATTGTTATTCCCTTATCATTGGAAGAATTGGAATTCTTTGATTACACAGCCACACAAAAAATTGTGTTCATGTCTGGGGATCAAACCATGTTTTCTATATGTTTTGAAGGTTGCTAAATCCGAGTTCGTTGTCCATTTTACTACATCATATCCAGTGTTCGAAATAACCTCAAAAAATATAAAAAATTAAAGATATTTCTAATCAAAGGGTCAGACCATGTTACCTATATGTCTTAGGGGTCGCTGAAACCGAATCTGAAGTCATTTTAACTCCATCACATCATATTTTTTACATAATATCCAACAGTTTTTGAAAAATCTGTGTCTGCTTCGAGTGGAGGCTGATCTGATGCCGACGTTATACTAGGCAATCTGCCATACACCAACGTGATGAATGTTGTCCCGTCCCATACACTATTTGTGGTCCGACTCACTGGCTTTCCCTTAATTAGAATTCATTCATGCAAATCACTCAATGGTACATTAAGGTCCACAGTAGCTGATAAAATCAGACGAAGATATTTTGTTTTCATTGTTGTATTCACAGTTTCATCTGACAACTTGAGCGTCGTTTCACGTTTAGCACTAGTGCATAGTGCTTTTTAGAATGCTTTGCATTCTATAAAAGTAGCCTCTCTCCAAGTGGCTATCTAAAAACTATGTTAAGGATTTTAAGAATTTCTGTCCGAAATCTTAAGAATAACTTTAAAAAAATTCGAAAAAATTTGATTTTAGACAATAATATTTTTAAAAATAATTTGGATTGAAAATTGTTCAGAGAATTATTATAAAGCATTCTTATTTCTAAATATATTAAGCAAAAATATTTTGAATAGTTAAAATATAATAATTACATTGTAATTGAATAATATAAGAAATGCATTGTGTAGTAGAAAAGAACTTTTCAATAGTTTGAATCAGAATGTTCTTTCTTTATAGTATCGCCTTTTTACTATCTTAGGTTAGACCCCCTTTCAAGATTAACACTAGTTGAATGACTAATGAAAAGGGTTTGATAGATTCGTTTAAACACAAGTTTCTGCTCATCTCTTCTCCCTCATACAACACGTACAGGTGTTAGATGTTTTTGGCGTCAAAAATAGAAAATAGAACGTTTATATAATTTAATAAATTTATCTTTGCGTTTGCTCTTAAATGCATTTTCTAGGTCTAATACGCGGCTTAATTTGAAGTTGTAGAACGAACAAATTACGTGTTGAAAAGGGCGTGGAAGACATTATAATTTGCTATTAGGGTACTAAGCAAAGAAATTGGAAAATTTAAGATATTAGAGCACACATTTGTAGTACGGCCGATAAAGAACTATGGATCCATATGTTGAAACCCATATCGTTTAGAGCAAATAAAATCATTCGAAAAAGTACAAAAATACCCGGCAAAATTTGTTAAAGTGGACACCCGAATTGTGTATTTATATAGCGGGAACCCTTGAAAAAACAAAGAAAAATCGCGGCTTTTCCATTATTCACAGGAATGAAAGGTTATCTCCATGGGTGGAAGTGCGGGTAAGATTATCACAGTCAACATACGTTCCACGGAATGATAATGGTTCGAAAATTCGATAAAGAAAACAGATCAGATGTACGTAAATTCTCATAAACGATAGCAGTTTATGGTAAGAATATTAATTCTCTAAATTGTGAAGTATAAATGTAATTATTATCAGGTTTATTGTTTTTTTGTGTTTTTAGAGACTATTTGTATTTGGTAAACCGTACCACTGCAAATATTTATTAATACTCCTAAGTATCATGATAAATAATATATTTTATTGTGTAAGTGTTAAGAATGTGATTCCCTTCACTGGGAACAGGTCTACGACACAGAGGTCCCTTGCACCTACTTCGGGTGACGGTCGTGGCGTTTGACTCAGGCTCTGATTACTGAATGATTTCGGACGCATCTTCTGCTAAGATCATTAGTCTCGTAAGTGAAGTGCACGTGTTTCACATGAGAGGTGGCGGAGGTCTTCCCCCGCTGGGTGTTGAGATCCGGCGCCAACCTACTGTCTCCTAACTGGGTTCCCTCCAACCAGGTCCAACACGTACGACTAGTCAGTCACCGCCGTTTATACAGTGCATTTCACACGTTCTTCAGTTTCCTCATTACACATACCATTTTCACGTCACAGTTTCCTCATACGACATACCTTAACTATTTGTAAAAAAAATTACTCACGTGCCGTATGTAAAGAGTTAGAGTCGGAATCAAACGAGATTATGCCTTTCACTGAAAACTAGAGCTAGGTGTGAACCAGAGACCTGTAAATCCCATATGTGGTGGAGACCATTACGGTGGCGTGCTCTTCTGCATCACCTTCTTTACATGAACTGCTACCAACGATACTTTAAACGTGTGTGGCTACTGCGTGAGTTCGCGGGTCGCAAGCAGGCCCACAATGTTACAAAAGATAACGTGTATGTTCGGGCTTTCTTCAGAGGTTTCTTATAAGTATAGATTATGAATAATTGAACGTTTAGAAGACACTTTTCGTATTTCTCACAAATTAGCCAATTTGTACGTGGAAAAGTTGGCGAACCTACCCTGCAGCTGCACCCGGCGACACTAGCGCCTCCTTTAGTAGCACCCTCGAGCTTTGTCCCCGGTTTTGATGGAGAGTTGCAGGGCCATTGTGTACATTGCGCGCCGCAGTTTTACGAAGGTTGTCTTATGTTTCGGGATTTGGAAACCCTGGTGTTTCAATCTGACAACTGACAGCTCTATCGTAAAGTTGGATGTTTTGAGGTTATACGTACTCAGAACGTTTTGACATACGAGCGCGTGTTGTTTACAGTAACTTAAAAGATTCATCTTGGCCCAAAAATGGAATTAAATCCTGAACATTTTCGTGCGATTATTTTTTACAACCTTCGACGTGGATTAACTCAGCAACAGTGCATGGATGAACTTAATTCAATTTTCGGCGATGAAGCTCCATCAAGGACCAGTGTTTATCGATGGTATGGTCAATTCAATCGTGGTCGTAGTTCACTCCAAGACGAATTTCGCGAAGGTCGTCCAAAATCAGTTGTTCCGAAAACGGTTGATGCTGTGCGTGAACTGAGATTGCATGTGACCTGTCGTGAGATTGAGACAACCTTAGGCATTAGTGGGACGAGCATACATTCAACATTGCATGAACATTTGACTCAAAAAAATTTGTTCGCGTTGGATCCCACACAATTTGTCAACCGCTCAAAAAAGGCTCGTGTCGATTGGTCGAAAGAAATGTTCAAAAAATATGATCGCGGTGCTTCGAAACACGTCTATGACATCATGGATTTACGCGTATGAGCCCGAAAGTAAACAGCAGTCTGTAAGCCGGGACGAGCGTTGAGCGTAAGCAGGGTCGTCGTGGCGGGGCGCGCAGCGAGCCCCTGGCCAATGGCCGTGTGATTGCTTCGTAATTGAATGCTGCGCCTCAACGCCACCGCCTGTGTGCTGTGCCTGCCTGCCTCCCGTGGCGTGCCGACGATGCCGCTACATATTTAACGCACGTCTTTCCACACGCGCGGCACATGTGGACAGCAATGCGTGTGCCTACGGGTGGAAGAGGGTTTGTGTTGGAACTATTCTTGTTTATGTAAATGTGTGAATTGAAAGGAGTGTTTGTGTAATTGTAAATTTTACATGCGCATGTAAACGTAACCTATGTCTGTTACTTCATTTACATTAACTCTGTTACAGTTCTCGTAGGTATTAAAACAACTTAATACACTACTTATAAATTAACGAATATATGTTGCAGTGTAGATTATACATTTTTCAAATATTATGAAAAAATAAACATTTACTCTTTTCTCAATTGTCACTACTCAATAAAAATATTAAAATCATTTATCGCATAAAATACCCGGGAAAAGATGTTTAATTGCAATCGTTGTTTTTTAAATCACACGACAATGATGAACAGAATTATACATACGTCCTCCTATTTTCCTGACAGTTTGGCTCGAATATAATTAATTAGCTACTACTCCGCTTCCTTGGGAACGATTAAATCTGCATAATACGCTACTCAAAGAATGTCAGGAAAGAACTCGAGTCTAACTCTAAGAGACAAGTCGAACTTCGTAAATAACCTCTAAAGACAATTTTAAGCATATTTTCTCGAATTAACAACTGGGATGTTCCGAATGGTTGAGCCGCAATAAGTACTCTAAAGTTGGTTTGAAAAAATACTTTCTAGTCAAACATTTGCATTGCAAAAGCATAGAAACATTCCAAAAACATGTAAATTGTTTATTATTTACAAAAGAACTAAATACATTTGTTCAGAAAGAAAAATTAAGCGAGGAATAAAAACAAGCAGTCGAATTCTGTAAATTGGGAGATTTTTAGTTTTTGCGTTATTTTTTTTTTATTTTTGAACAAGCATATTCTTTTTTGTAAATAATAAACAACGTACATGTTTTTGGAGTGTTTCTATGCTTCTGCAATGCACATTATTGTCTAGAAAGAATTTATTTCAAACCAACTTTTGAGTGCTTATCGCGGCTTAGCCATTTGAAATATCCAAGTACTTTATTAGACAAAATATTCTTAAAATGGTTTTAAGAGTTTATTTGCGAAGTTGTAACATTTCCTCCTCAGTTAACATGTATAGTGTTGTTCAGAAACGGACAAACGTTTGCCATCAATCAATTTTTCGGAATCTAGGTATCCACAAAACATGGATTCTGACTTGACGTGTTAGAGGATTTTTAATTTAGCAACTAGATTTATCCACTTTTGCATTACAAGGGCCCTGTAATAAGAGTTTTCCCTCCGAAAATTCGGCGTTGTGTGTCGCAGCACCTGTACACAGTAGGGAGAGAGTAAAATGCCACGTTTAATCCGTCGAGCCGCTCCGCGTTTGTCTGAGTTGGTTGCTGGTGCTGCCGCAGGAGGGCGGGGCGCCGCCGCGCGCCAAGACGGCCATCGAGGAGCAGTGGGAGAAGCACGGCGCCTTCGAGCTGACGTCGGTGGAGCAGGAGACGTACGAGAAGTACTTCTACGGCGCCGAGCACTGGAACTACTTCACCTCGGACGAGGACCTCGGCCCCGTCGTGCTCTCCATCCGCCAGGAGACGCTCAACGGCAGGGACCAGTTCAGGTGTGCCCACCTCCCTGCATGCATGCACTGACTCGATTCATTGATTGATGCATTGATTGATATTACTACATGTAGAAGCAAGAAAACATTTTCTTACAGTACCCGCGAACGACAATTTGTTTCTTTAAAAAATGGCACACTTCACCGCAGCGTTAAATATCATTCTCTACATTACTTAGATTTTCAGTATAAACATTCATAGAAAGTATTCGGGAAAGTAAAAAAAATTATCTTCTATTCTCCTACATGGCTTAGAAGTTTGCAACACTTATCCTGCGACGTTCTTTTTCTGGCACTAAAGTGAGAAGCTTAATCATGGGGCCATGAAATTGAAGATTATGAGGGTTTATGTTTGTTTGTGTGTGTGTGTGTGCGCGCGCGCGCGTAGGATCTTGATGAGGTTCATCAGCTACACGATCTCATGAAATTGAAGATTGCGTGTTTGTGTGTGTGTATGTGTGTGTGTGTGTGCGCGCGCGCAGTATCTTAATGAGGGTCATTAGCTACAAGATCTCATGAAATAGAAGACGTGTTTTTGTGTGTGCGTAGGATCCTGACAAGGAGTATCAGCTACACCACCACGGGCTTTTACGGAACTGAAGAGCATGTCTCTGTGTGTGTATGTGTGAGAGACAGACAGAGAGAGACACGCAGAGACAGAGAGACGCAGAGACAGAGAGACATAGAAAGCGTAGTATCATGATCAGGGCTATTAGCTACACTTAGCACGGGCTCATGAAGAGTGCGTTTGTGTGTGTGTGTGCGTAGAATCATTATCAGGGCTATTAGCTACACTTTGCACGGGCTCATGAAGAGTGCGTTTGTGTGTGTGTGCGCAGGATCCTGGTGAGGGCCATCAGCTACACGGTGCACGGGCTCATCCCTGCCTCCTGTGTCTTCGCCGACCGCTACAACCGCGAGGAGGTGGTGCGCTCTCTCGGCAAGGAGGTGAACATCAACCCGCCCTTCACGCTGGGCCAACTGCCCGACACGCCCGAGGAGCTGCTCAAACTCGACCAGGTGGGTCCGCCCTCACACACAAACAAACAAAAACACACACACACAAACAAACAAAAACACACACACACACACCAAACACACACCACAACAAACACACCACACACACACAAACACACACATCACACACACAAACAACACACATACACACAACACACACACAAACACATAACACACAAATACACAAACACACAAATACACAAACACACATACACAACACACACATACACACAACACACATACACACGAAACAACACATACACACAAACACACATACACACAAAACACACATACACACAAACACACATACACACAAACAACATACACACAAACAACCATACACACAAACACACATACACACATACACACATACACACAACACAATACACACATACACACATAACACAAACACACACACACACAAACACACACACACAAACACAAACACACAAACACAAACACACACACAAACACACACAAATACACACACAAACACACACACAAACACACACACACAAATACACACGTAAATACACACACCGCCTTGGCTGTCGTGGGAAACATAATGGCTTTGAGCTTCAACAGTTGGTTCTCAGTCAGGATGAGCTTCAATAGCCGCTCCGCTATGTCCATGCGCATAGTTTATCTACTAAACCATAATTGGCATACTGCAATGGTAAAAATAACTTTGAGTAAAATGGTAAACTGGAATAGAATATAAATGGAAATAAAACTTGATAAAACAATGAAGTCGTAGGCACCGCGCCATAGTCATTTGCGTGAACTTGGCTGTCCGGGTGACGCCGCGTTGAAGGCTGTGTTGCCATACCAGCCCTGAGGAAGACCACGACAAGATGGTCGAAACGTCGGCAACACAGCCTTTGACGCGGCGTTTCCCGGGCAGCCAAGATCACGCACTTGATAAAACAATAATTCCCTATATTTTCTTCATCAATATAAACAACAAAATGTATCAGCGAATATAAATCTGGCGTTAATATTTTTCAGTAGAAAGATTTGAAATTAAATAATTTATTATTATTTGAAGTAATTGTGTAGGCTAATGTAAACTAAATTAGAACCTTAAAAAAGAAACAACCTACAATATCAATTAGCAAAACGATTAAGATTCAACAACTCTTAAAAACACTTTATTCCATCCTCCTTACTCTTCTAAGTTCTGCAGCCACTGGAATGAGTAAGCGCCTCTCTCGTGACAATGGTAGCCACTTTGAGCTTTTACTCGGAGGTCACTTTATTGTCAGTTAAAGGAAATAATATTTTATTATTGTTTATTAAATATTTTCAATTATTATGTCTTTACTACTTATTTTATTAATTTTATTGAAATTTTCTTATTAGTTTGTAGCAGATTCCATAATAATAAATATAATAATAACAACAATTGTTATAAATAATGAAGAGCTTGGCAGTAATGATACACGAGATATCTTTCTGATTTCTGTCTGAGCTGACTCCCATTAAATAATCATTGTTGGGTTTCTGTTAATAATTCAATCATAACTTCCCCCTACATTTACAGTATAGTTTTGTTTCTTAATCATACTGGTCAGAATCACCTAAAGAGACGTTTTGTTTGCCCACTTATGTCTCTGCCCACCCCACTCACACTGAGCAGTGTGAAAAAGATTGTGGCGTGTGAGCCGCGTACCTGCCCACCTGACCTCTTGAATGGGAAAAACCCGGAAACAACGGAGCATCTGCATCTTACCACCTGACGGTATCCTCCTCCTCCTTTGCTGCCACCCACTGCTATCTTAAAAGGAGGCAAAGACGCGATGTTGTCAAATTTCCTACACAAGAACAAGAGCTCTCAAACATAGGTTGCGAGTTAAATTAAATACCGGTGTCTTGGAGTAAGAGCTACATCGTATTGTGTATGTGTAATGCATAGTACGTGACCACGCTGTACCCTCTGCCCCAACTGTCCACCGCCTTCTAATTTTATTCACCTCGTTGTTATTGTCAAATGTGTAGATTGGCAACCCTGCCCCAATCACATCCGTCCGTCCAAACAACTCTAATTTAATTCCTTCCTTAGTTGTTGTGGAACGTGTAGATTGACAACCATGTTCCCTCCATACCCTGCCGTCCACCGCCTCCTAATATTATTCTCTGCTTAGTTCTTGGCAAGCATGTAGATTGGCAAGCCTGTCCGCTCCACACCCAACTGTCCACCACCTTGTAACTTTATTCCATTTTTTAGTTATTGTCAAATATGTAGATTGACAACCATTTCCACTCCCCACCCAACTGTCAACCGCCTTCTAATTTTATTTGCTCCTCGGTTATTTTAAAAAAATGGATATGCAACACTGTCCGCTCAACACCCAATTGTCAACTGCCTTGTAATTTCATTCGCTCCTTTCTTATTGTCCAATGTATAGATTGGCATCCCTGCCTTCTGTGTTCCCAACTGTCAACTGCCTTCTAATTTCATTCGCTCCTTGGTTATTGTCAAATGTATAGATTGGCATCCATGCCTTCTCTGTCCCCAACCGCCCAGCGCCTTCTAATTTGATTCGGCGACCGCGCGTGCGCAGGTGTTCATCAAGTCAGAGCTGAAGGTGGGCGTGATCTACGTGCAGGAGGGCCAGTACACGGAGGAGGAGATACTCGACAACAACGACGTCTCCCCGCTCTTTGACGAGTTCCTCCACGTGCTGGGCGACCGCGTGCGGCTCAAAGGTACGTCCCCTTCGACGATACACTACACAGAGTGGCTGGCCCTATGGTTGCAGCGCTCGAAGTGGACGCTCGCCCAACTAGAGGCCGCCATGCTTTTTGCAGTCAGGACGTGTAGAGCTAATAACGAGCTAGTATATACTATATAGAATGTCTGGCCTTATGGTTGCAGCGCTCTTGGTGGACGCTCGCAGAACTACGGACCGCCATGTTTTTTGAAGTCAAAACATGAGTGGTGCCTCTAACGAGTTAGGATATATATATATATATATATATATATATATATATATATATATATATATAGAGAGAGAGAGAGAGAGAGAGAGAGAGAGGGAGGGAGGCTGGCGTTATGGTTTCAGCGCTCTTGGTGGGCGCTTGGCGAACTAGGGACCGCCATGTTTTTTGTAGTTAAACATGAGAGATACCTAGTGGCGTGTAAAACTCTTGTACTAAAACTACCTATGGTTTCAATCAGGTCTTATTTGCATATTGCTGTATTTTCGTTTATCTGTGATTAAATTATACGCGGACTTTATCTTGATCACCGGAATATATACTATTTTACTAACTTGAATTATATACTATTTTACTAACTTGAATTAAGAATAAATGATAGCGAGGAGCGTTGTTGACAAAATCTGATAACAGAAATATTCCTCCTGTGTAATAAACTATTTTTCTTCGCAAAACGAGCTACAAATTTGATAAAATAGCACTGTCGACAAAATATTCAAACGCCCCTCTCTTTTAGCATCTAGCAAAATGAGGGATCATGAGAATATGCGTGAATAACAAATAGGGTCACTGATCCTATGATTTCAGCGTTCTTCGTGAGCGTGTAAGACGTACAGAATCGACCTATTGTTTGAAAGATCTTATTTCTATATTGTTGTCTTTTCGTTTATCTTTGTTTAAATTATATTAATAGTTAGAATAATAATATTCACAATTTCTTCAGTATGGTCAGCACATAGCTGTAGAAATAGAAGTCCTCAAACCACAAATATAATTTTTCAAGTTGACCGCCTTATTTCTGATTTTTTTCTTATTGCAATAATCTTATTGCAATTCTTATTGCACTTTCAGGCGTTATGCTAACTACAATAGCATCTTAAAACCTTCCACTCTTATGACAATAACTACTGAAGGCTATAAAGTGCATAGTACAAATGGTTTATTGTAATTTTTGCATGTCCATTTACCAGCTCTATTTTATGATATTTCATTACCACCCGAGTACATTTCATATGACTCGTGGCTTAGGCAAAGAAGGCAAATGAGTTGTTTACTTTTTTATTATTTTATTATTTTCATTACATATATTTTTTATTGCAATTCCTATTTCTTTGAGCTTATCCCAGTTCAATGTCTACAAAAACCTGTGAGAAAGGGGATTGACAGAAACCTTTCTATGCACAGATAAATTATTTAGTACAAGATGGAGGTTAGATTTATTGTCTATTATAAATAGTATATATACATACTGATACTAAACCAGCAACATCGGTATTTAGGTAACGTGGTGGAAGAACTTTGCAAAGATTCAGGTTCGAGTTTTTTAATCCATATTAAATAGAGTAGCCATTTGGTTGTGTTATACACTGTTCCCTCATTACCTTTTACTATTCATCTTTAATAATGAATTAATAAGATCTTGGCTGAAATCACGATAAAAAGATAAGTTAATCAATGCTGAACTTGGCGATCAACTGCAGACCAATAGGGGGTTAAAGTTCGATTTTCTTTGCAAGAAGAAGATGTGAAGAGAATTTGTGTTTTCGAGGTAACATATTTACACCACATTATATTTTCAATTTTTACTTCTTCTTTAACATTATCTACGTTTCTTTATAAATATTTTTGTAAAACCGTTTTCTTTCCAGATGTTTATCATAAACTATTAGGATATTGAAGAACAGGAAAAACTTAGGCCTTTCCCGACACGTTTGTCCGTAGGTTGGCGAAGAAGGTATAAGCAACGTTTTCGTGGTATTTTAAAGCAGAGGATAGTTAAATTCATAGAGGTACTTTGCAGATAAATGACACCTTCTCAGAACATGTAATATCTTCCAGTGATCTGTCGTTTCTAATAACAAGGCAATTGTACGAGGGAGAATTCAAGGGCCTTCCAGGGTAGAAGTCTGCAAATCCTGTATCCTCCAGGGGCACCCCGTCCTCTGTGAAGAACTTGCCCTCCTGCAAACCCTGCAAACCCTGCAAACCCTGTGACGAACTTGCCCTCCTGCTCGACGTCGGTGGCGCTGTGCCAAAAACAGTTCACAAAATGAGCGCCGGTGGCGTTCGGTGGGAAGTGCTTCAACAGCAGCTCCACCTCGCGGCGGGACGCCGGCGCCACCAGTCGTCCGCCCTCCTTCCGACAGAGCGCGCCAGCGTCGGGCCAGCACTTCGCCTCGCGCGGCGCGCGGTAGTGGCCCAGGCCGGGCAGCGTGAGGTAGCCCGGCGGTGCGGGCCGAGGCGCGGAGGGCGCGGAGGGCGCGGAGGGCGCGGAGGGCGCGGAGGGCGCGGAGGGCGCGGAGGGCGCGGAGGGCGCGGAGGGCGCGGAGGGCGTGGAGGGCGTAGTGGTCACGGTGGGCGCTGGCGAGGGGGCCCAAAGACCCTCCTCCGGGGGCCCGTTGAGCGTGAAGGACAGCGACCGCCGTGGGACGTCGTCGGGCCCGCATCCTGATGTCCTCACTTCCACATCCAGCAGCCACCCGTGACTCCCCAGCGGCTGCTCAATGTTGGCGCTCACGGCGCGATGCCCTGTGGCGTTCGTGGCGTACGACAAGGATAGGGCGAGCTCCTTCCCGGCTGAGCACCTTGGCTGTAGAGCGAGAGACGTCGACAGCGACATGGTCAGAAGAAGCAACAGAAGCCAAGGCGACATCCACTGACCGCTCATGGTGTACACTTGCACTCGGGCGCCAGCCGGGTATATAAAGCGGATTTAGAGGTCAGAGATCATCTACATCTGCGTTATCATTAAAAAATGCGCATTCTTTCATCCATTACGTCAGGAGACGTTTTATTTTTTTAATGTCAAGAAGTATCCATAACCGATTGAGGTCATGTTATTATCGTATAAAACCACTGAACTTGTGTCATAATATCAGAAATAAGATCCATTATTAGCAACTTTTGCATCATAAAACCGAGTAAAGTGCAAGTCAGTAAATATGAACGATGACTTTATGCTTATAAAACTCGTACGTGTGTATACACTATTTAATTGGAGTTTATCGTTTTGCAGGTATTAACAAAGGAACAAAAGCTGCCAAAGTTATTGATACATGGGGGATAATTGCCACTAGTTAATTTTGTAATCTCAAACTATTCTATAAATGAAAATCATTTTTTTATTTATTTTATAATTAATTTTGTAATGTTAATATTTTACTTTTTATCGATATCGAGGAATATTTAACCTTACTACATGTATATTACCGACGTTTTGTACAATAGTGCAAGAAAATAAAATTTCGAATTTACCTCATTAACACGATCTAAAAACTACAAGGCCTACAAAAGCATATACTTTCTCGCATTATTAAGAACGGTTACGTTATATTATAGTATTGCAATTGCTGCTATTACTTTAAAAAATTCAAAACAAATCAAACGAAGCATTTCAATGGATTTCTTCTATTATTTCGCTGGACACGGGGAGTAGCCTTTTCTCACTACTACGAATGAAAAAAACAAATCTCAACTGGTACAGTATTTACAGCACATTATATAAACAAGCATGGATCATTTCACGTGAAAATTATACCTCCAGAACTAAAGGACATCTAATACATCGACTTATGAATGCATATAAAGTACCAGATGTTGTCTTTAAGAAATGTACACCTTATGCAAAAACATATTCTGTATTTATTGTATATACTTCCCGTCTTGGATGCAGTTGAATTTGCCGTTTTATTGAACATAGTGATATTGTACCATTACCGTTTAGTAAATAAAGTTTCCTCGCCCAGTCGCTATCCCAATCAAGTCATCGTACAACAATAAAATTCTCGAAATAACTTCTCAAACTCTAATGTCGCAGCTTACACGGCACCGCGATGTGAATAATTTATTTAAATATTCAGTTAGAAAAAAATAGTTGATTGAAATAAACTGTGAGAAGGGGTTCTTAAAATATCGAACTACGTCTAAGCATATCTCTAATTACTTTCATAGAATGACACACCCCTGAAACAAAGGGCGGGAAATTCGAATTCCCATTTTGATTTTGATTTCAATGTTCTAAAATACAGAAAGTAAGCTGAAAATAAGTGTAGCACTTCTTAACAGTTCTTTGCCTTCCGTGCGTGCTTGTTTATGCAAGAAAAAAAATTGGAACCGTTGCTGAGAGAATAATGGTTTAAAATTTAAAAATCGCCAATAATTGACGACAATTTGCGGAAAAAATACTCAAATTCGAAAACCTGAACATAAACATATTTAAATGTTTGATAGATAAGCAGATTTCATTAAGAAACTAGTGGTGCTACAGAGTGGCATAGACTTTCTCGTATTAGTTTTCTACTTTCTTTGGCCCGGCCTAGCTATTCATTCTCGGCTCATACTCTCTCATACTGCCATCTATCACCACCGAAAGTACTTTTTTACATTTTTTTTTTCAATTCTTCAGTTTCCTAAATAGGGAATTGAAGTATTTATTTCAAAATATTAAATAATAATGAAAATGGGACCTAAATGGCAATTTGCATTGAACAATTTGGAGCCATTTTTAAGAAAAAGCGTTTAGGCGTTACTGTAAATGCAAAATTTGAAGCTCTTTCACATATAATTTTTGAATTTTCGAAAAACTTCATTTCAAGCCATTTGAAGCACATTTGCTCACAGCGGTATTGTTTTTACAAATCGCTTAAAATGTTTATACTAACGGTATGAGAGTAATTTTGAAAAAAAACACAAAAGAATACCCCAAAAGAAC